CTAAATAACACACTTTCAATCCACTTTCAGTGCACTTTGCCACTGGATTTTACTGTGTGGAATGGCAAAATCCACTTGCAAAGGGTCGCTGAAGTGGATTGAAACTGCCCTATTTAGTATGTGTGAAAGCGTAAGAGCTGCTTAGGTGTCCTGTATGGTCACCCCTTCACAACAGCTTTGTGAAGCAGTGAGTGGCATATCTGTGGGGTTGCCAGCTCTAGGCTGGAAAATCTCTGGATGCTTGGGAGTTGGTGACTGCAGGGTTTGGGGAGGGGAGAAGGGGTGCAGTGTCACAGAGTCCCATTCTCCAGGGCAGCCATTTTCTCCAGGGTAAGAACAGGCTCTCTGTTGTTTGGAAATCAGGTGTAATTCCAGGATATTGCCAGGTTGGCTGCCCTAAGCACAGAGCAGGGATTTGAACCTGGGCCTCATGGCTGTAATCCAGCACTCTAACCATTGATCAGCACTGGGTTTTAGGGCACTTCCTCACAATGCAGTTTCAATCCACTTCAGCGACTGTGTGCAGGTGGTTTTTGCCACTTCGCACCGTAAAATCCAGTGGCAAAGTGCTTTGAAAGTGGATCGGAAGCACATTATTTAATGTGTGTCAAAGCACCCTTATTCTGGAGCACACATTGAACTGGTTCTGAGGCTTCCAGCATCCACAGCTGCACACCCGCTTGGGCTAATCGGGAGGAATGTGCCAGAGGTCACTCTTGTGAGGCAAGCGGAGGTCGGGGCAGAGGCTCCCCAACAGCAATGAAACCAACAGAACTTGTTTGCAAAGGAGCATGCAGAGGGTTGCATTGGCTTTTGTTGATGCCTGGATGCATGCGCTTCAGTTTCAGCTGGATGCACGTGCTTTAGTTTCAGTCGCTTGTTAATGAGGCAACCTTTATAATTAAAAGCTGAAAAGGAGGTGTGCCAGAGTGCGGCATCCATAGATCTGGGTCAGGCCAGGAGTGTGGAAGTTCACTTTGGTGGCAAACTGTGGTCAGCCAGAACTCTTTTCTTTTTTATGTTTATGGTTAAAGAAAAGAACTGTAAAACTGCAAACTCAAAACAGCGCGGTTTAGCAGAAAATAATAATAATAATCCAGTCTCAGTAGGTAGTAAAATCACTCTACTCTCCAATGATAAAGACTCACATTCTAGGTGTATCTGAAGAAGTGAGCAGTGACTCACGAAAGCTCATACCCTGCCACAAATTTTGTTAGTTTTTAAGGTGATCCTGGACTTTTGCTCTTATCTACTGCTACAGACAAACATGGCAAACCCATCTTGATCTACTTCACATGGTTGTTGTGAGGGTAAAATGGTGCAGGGAGGGACGAAGTAAACCCCTTGATGTCCCTGTCAGGGAGAAAGGTTGGGTATAGTATACATTAAATGTTTGGAAATTTTAAAAATGACTCTGAAATGTCGTCCTTTTTTGTGAGCCAAGAGCATACTAAACATACATTGAGTGATAATTCAAAGTATATTCCCAGTTCTAGTGAAAACTTTCAGGATTATTCTATCGTTAACAAAGACTGGGTTGGATCCCATGCCTACCCAACTATTCCACTGGGCAAAGTTTATACATGAAAGCATTTATATCGTGCCTGTTCTTTGGGCTCAAGTCTGAAGGCTTCCTGCAACTCAAGGGGTTCTTTTGTAGCAGGAGAAAAAACCTCTTAAGCTGGAGGAAGGCAACTTGGAGGATGGTTGGATCCCCCCAACTGTGTGGTGGAATTAAGGTATTTTTGAGGTGGATGTTGAAAGAGGGCATGGTGTCACTAGGGATGCCAGCCTACAGATGGGGCTTGGAGGTCTCCCAGAATTGTAACTGATCTCCAGATGACAGATGAGTTCCCCTGGAGACAATGGCTGCTTTGGAGAGCGGACTCTCTGACATTATATCCGGATAATGTCCCATCCCTCCCCAAATCCCACCGTCCTCAGGCTGTACCCCCAAATCTCCCAACCTGGAAGTGGCAACCCTGGCTGTAACATGAAAATTATTGTTACTTTGAAGTCATGTGGAAGACACAGATTTGACAGCTGGCCAGAAAAAGAAGCTTCGGTCTATTTCATACAGAATCTTGTTATGTAGAAATCAGCAAGTAAAGGTTACCGTAGACTGCACGCAAGGACCCCCCTACTTTGCTGAACCTATGGACAGTTTTGGAATTTTAACAAGAAGAAGTGGGTGCCATAATAAAATGTCTTCCATGGCAGGGGGGAGGGGGAACCAAGCATATATAGGAGGTTTTACAAAATGTTAGGCGGTTCTAAGCCAAGCATCTTCCTATGGTTGCTTCCGAATGGTTGCTCCCTGAATCACCTCCTTTTCCAGTTAAATAAAAATAATACAATCCAGGATTTGTTCTTAGCTTTGGGGACAAGTGAATACCAGGGCGCACACAGTGCCAGATGTGGGGGTATTCCACAGGCACCATGTAGGCCCCTGGCATAGAGCTTGGTGTTACCTACTGGTCACTGCTAATCAAACTACAGTTGATAGTTTAAGAATTAGTAACCCTAACTGGAAATGCAGATTTGAGCTAACGTTCTAGCTAGCTAGTGTCGGTCCATACTGACAATGGTGTTCATGAGTTACGTAATCACTACCTTCCTACTTCTGCACTGTCGCATTGTACATTATGTCCATCATGTAGTAATTTTATATTCATATACAGCAATTCTTCTTACAATGGGAAAGGGTGATCAGACCAATTTGAGGATATTCTTGTCCCAAATTCCAAAGTCTTGTTTGCACTCAAAAACATTTCAAGCACTTATTTAAGCGTTGTCACCCTTGGCCTCCCTACACATTTGCTTCTCTTGAGGGGGGGGGTAAAGGTGTGGACTTCGGCTAATGCTATTTCATTGACACTTCAGATGATCCAGCCAAGTTTTGCAAGAACTGCTTAAATCAGTTTTGAGTTCTGTACAAGATTACAATAGGTTCACGGCTGATCCATACGGCACCTCTTCAAATATTGATATTTCCATTCACCAGTGCAAGAGAAGCCATTTGCCTAAAAGGTAAACATGGACGCAAGTAACTCCGTGGTGAAGATAGGAATGGGCAATTGGTAATGCATGGCTTTAATAGCGCTTTTGGGCACAAAGAGTTTGGAACTCTAATTACACGTTCAGGTTTGAACCACCGCAGTTTTTGTTTTACAATGCTCGGGAGCCCTAAAGAGTCATTAGAGGCAGCTTCTTGTTCATGCAGCCTCCTCGGAGCTGGGGGGAGGAAGCTCCAAGCAGCTGTGATTGCGTGCTAAAAGCTTTTCCTGCACACGGTAGAGGATGCACACAATTGCCTTGAGGCAAACTAAACAAAATAGGAGCTGCGTGGACAAAGTTTCCCCCCATCAAGGGGGAAGAGATTGTCCCTAACTATATTTATTTTTCAAGATGGGTACCCATGTTAGTCTGCCTGCAGCAGTGGAAAAGAACAAGAGTCCAGTAGCACCTTAAAGACTAACAAAATTTGCAGCAGGGTCTGAGCTTTCGTGAATCACTTCTGAGTAGCGGCCCACGAATACTCCTGCCTTGCCAGAAATTTTGTTACTCTTTAAGATGCTTCTGGACTCTTGCTCTTTTCTGCTGTATTTCTTTCTGTCCAGTGCATCATGGCACTATATTGAATTGCCCATGGTATATGCCTTGTGGACTATGGACCAAAGTGCTTCTAGAATAAGCAGGAACAGAGAGTTTATTTCACAGCACCTACGGTAGATATGCTTAGTTCACAAATCAGAATTCTAAAGTACAAATGCTTCCTGTACTTGGATTTTATCTTAAAGATTGTGCCAACAGGTACATAGTTACTCAAGAAGTGCTGACAGTTGGTTTCACTGTCATGCAAACTTTAATCTGAGGTTATATATAAACCTAGCTTCCCATACAGTAAATAATGGACGAAGCTCAGCTGGAAAGCAGAAAGCTTGGGGGGGGGGCTTGGGAGCAGTGGAGGGAGTGAAGAAACCGCTTTGGCACACCCACCTACAAATGCACACACCCTGATCCAATTAAAATTAGTCTAATTTTAATCCCACTGTGATTTCATACTTGACTGGCAGTACAATCCCAAGCAGAGTTTTGTTGTTGTTGTTCAGTCGCTCAGTCGAGTCTGACTCTTCGCGACCCCATGGACCACATCACGCCAGGCCCTCCT